GAAATATCCATTATTGGAGTAAAGCAAGATATATCTAGAGCAAATAAATCAAAGTGCTGAAAGCACTTATTAATTTTGTGCTTAATTATAGGAGAAAACTAATAAACTCAAGTAAAATGTCTTCTTACGGTTATGATCACTTGCTTGTTTCCGTTTGTTGTTGGTTTTTTTTAAGATTCACATTCATTAACAAAATCCACAATTGATACTGGTATAAGTGGTGAAAAAAACAACAAGAAAACAACAAGAAAAAAACAACAAAAAAACAAACAAAACAAAAGCAAGCCCAAAACAGGAAGTGACTATTTTCTTTGTCAAGCCCTACCATCTAGGATTGACTCACTTTTTCTTTTTTGAAATGTCTGAATCATTTCTTCTGAAAAATGTTATGATATAAACATTATCAGCTTTGCAGGGGTATGGCTATATCTGACACCTCATTTGAATTTGTACAGAGGGGGTGGACCTGTATATTAGGAATTACCTTTGAGCGGACCAAAATGGTTAACGCTGAAAGAGATCTTAAACTGCAAATAGACGCTGTATTTTTTATCACTGAATTGGCTTTTAACTTTGTTTTCAGTTGGGGTCGGAAAATAATATATAAGACAAAAATGGTGAGCGCTTAATTGAATTGTTTAAAAAGATCTTAAAATTATTTAGTGATGTAAACGTTTTTTTTATATTAAAAGATTAAAACTGCATTCGTCCTTCATATTTGGTAACTCAGTGAGATTTTGTTAAGGAAATAGATATATTTGGTAACTCCGTGAGATTTTGTTTAGGAAATAGATATCTATTCTGAGTGCATTTTTCACGGTTCGAATTCAAATGCGTAGAAATAATATCACGATCCCCAATAGGCCTGATGCTTTAAGCATTTGAACGAAAAATGGTGCATTATTCTACAATAATGCACCAGCTAAATTAGTGAATAGCTTATAACCAAGTATAGAGCCATCAGTCATTTGTAAGCTTAGGCCTACTGGATAGCTTTTTATACATAAAGGAACCAAAAGTCATCGACAAAATTTGAATCCGCAGAAGTAAAGGGAAAGTTTTTTAAACTTTATGAACAAACTAATTGACTACAAAGGCTCACAGAATGATAAATTCAATAACACGAATTCTAATGCCAAACATTTTAATGCTGAACAAATAACATTTGGTTTTATCAATTCATACAAGATGTCAGTATCTTGTGACAAATTTATAATAATTTTGACCTACAGTTGTTTACGGTGTATACGCCGGAAGCGGTGTTGGTACAGAAGGATCCTCTTCTAATTCATCTACAACTTCCAGCTGCTTACAAGGTAATAATCCTTGCTTTTCACTTCGATAGATATTAGAATCAGTAAAAGCAGAAATCAAATCGTAGGTCCCAATCTTCTTTAAGTCCTTATAATATAAAACCATTATCATTAGCATAATCATGTATAAAATTGCCTCTATTATGTACGCGAATCCGGGGAAGAAAAATGCCGTCGCACCGTATAGACTCACAAATATCACTGTACCAAGAAGCTTGGATGCGGTCTCGGCGCTAGCAAGGAGCGAAAACATTTTCCCCATTTCGTTTTCCTCGACAGATTTGCTCATCAGGGATCGAATTGCCGAAGTTATCATTCCCGCAAACGATCCTATTATGACCGACACATAAACCATCCAAGATTCTTGGATAAAACCCGCCCAGAAAAGACGGATTATTTTACACAGCAAACCAACTATTACTATTGCACCGTCTGGCATATTCAATATATTAGAAAGAATTGGTAAGACAACTATTAGACACACGCCCATCACAGCGTAATCTACCGACAACAAGTACCCATACCATGACTTCGGCCAGCTCAGTGGACTGTGGGTTACGAACAGCAAGGTAATGTCCGTTTCTCCGACCTTACAAGTTTGATTCAACAGAGATATCATAAAAAGTATCAAAATAAGCTTTCGGCCATGATTTGTCCGTTTCCTGCCAAGCACACTTAATGATTCTCTAATATTGTCGCAGATGAAGGTTTTTCGACCTCGACCTTTGGATATTTCAGCATCAGACCTTTCAACTTGTAGTGGTACAGTTTCTGGCATGCATATAATTGTTATCAAAACCACCACTGCATGTAAAAATACGACGGTGCAGAATGTAGCGGGAATATCAGAGGTGTCTTGAAAGATTCCCGCCAAAAGGGCACCTGCAAATAATCCAAAAAAGTTCATGGCTAAAAGTTTACCGAGCTTCCGTGTTCTGTCGTCTTTATCAGTGATGTCAGATGCATAACTGTTAACCGCCATTGTAATCACCGAACTTTTTCCAAACGAACCTTGCACGAGGGCCCCCAAAAGTACAAATACTATAGCATGATCAGGCGACGCTAAACTCATCATGTACATCAAAACTGAAAATACGCTGCCTAGACTTGGCAACATCATCGGAATCTTTCGTCCATATTTGTCACTCCACGCGCCACAAAAGAGTCCCAAAAATATGGCGGGAAAGTTGACCAACATCCGATAATAAATGAGATAATTGCCCGCTTCTGATTGGATCTCATCCTCAAGGACCGGAAATGCATCTAAATTCCGACACAATGAGTCGTTCGTCGGGAATCTTGAATGACAGACGACACGGATAATGTACGGTCTGATGGTGGCGTCTAGCATAGACTCTCCGGTCTTGTATACGAAGAATATTAGCTCTGCCAACATAATAGGTATGGAGCACAACCAGCCTTTATACCTAAACTCCATCTTGAATGTTTCACCAAGTTCTTGCCAATATGAGAATGTCCTGCTTAGAGTAACAAATTAGCAAGTGTAAGGTTCCAAAGCTCTCAAAAATCGCCATCTGTAAAATGAGGAAAGAAGACATTAAATAAAGATTATTATTTTTATCAAAATGTCATGGATATTTATATTCATTAGAACGATAAATAGATATTCAAAAATAATTTTAACATTATTAATATAGTACTAAAATAACACAGATTTGTTCATTTGTGTATTGACTTAATTCTTTCTCGCATATATCATAGTAGAAAACATATATTTCTCTCTTGAATGTGCTTATCTTTTTAGAAAGGTCATCAGTTATTAATCAGAACCAAAAGCACAGAATAAAAGCTATTTGATCTCTTTTAATGAAGCTTCTGGATAAACCTTAAGAAAAAAACAACGTTAGGAATCAATGAAGGAATTTAAAACACGATGATATTTATGTTGTTAATAACTAAGTAATAATACTCTCTGTTTAGTACTTACTAAAATTCAAAATTACAAAATTGTAACACGCTTATAAGTAAGAAAAAAACAACACTTTTTTGTTTAAGACTTCCATAAAATAATAAAACGGAAAAAGAGATAAAACCAAAAGTAGCCAATAAAATTAGCAACTTACCTGTTGTGGTGAAATTTCGTCAACTAGCTCAACAATATCGATGGTCTGATTTCATTTACTGCTGCTCTTTTATACCGGTGAGAAAGAAAATGATCCAATAATCGAAGACTTCTATTCAGATGCATCGTATAACAGTCGGCGTTTTATTCAGAATATATTCTAAAAGAATGCGTCCGATTTTTCCAATAGAGTAGCTTCAGCGTAAGTTCGAAGTCTTCTGTATGCAAATATTGCTTTTCAGCGGGCCCCATCAATAGAACTAATAATTGCGGTAATGCTGTAAACAACTCTTTTATTACTAAACATATTGCCTGGTTGACGATATTTGAATTTTGATTAGAGAGACAATAGAACACAAAAGAATATGAGCGAAATACAATACAAGTTATATTTACATAGATGATGTACTATTTGGTCTCATAAAAAGGCTTTCAGACAACAATCATATGAAATCCCTTTTCGGGGAAAATTCGGCATTGTCCATTTTCAAGTACTAGTATTCGATTTCGTGATTTTTATATTACTATTGTCGTCTGCAAATCGACATAATTTAGAGATTTATATCTTTATACCCGAATAAACTTTCACTAACAATGCATGCAAATGTGACTCAATTATTAGTATAATTGAAATATTAGGTATAAAAGTGTGAATAATTTTTTTTCTAAATTTCTTACAGCAGCAGCGAAGAAGTGGAATTCCTTAAATATGCATAAGTTCTAATTTTGCAAAGGAATAATACATCTCAGAAGTATGACAGCTCCGGTACTGGGATCCTTCATACTTACCGGAAAATCAATTTACCGGACAAAATTTATTCCTGTTGAAAATGCAAAAAATCATTGCTTTTATGGTTTTGAATAAAAGTAACAGCGAGAAAACGTACATTATATTGTGTCCTGTAATATAAAGCGGCAAAGTATAGACAAGGAGAAAAATTGCGATGAAAACAAAATTCACTTTCTAGAAAAATGTATTAAGATCTTAAGAAAAGTAAACAGATTCAATATTTAATTAATTATTTACATGTTACGAGCGATTAATGGCTGATTTTGTTGTATCAATCACTATAATTCTATTGCGTTGCTAACTCAGTAAGAGGTATTTATGTATATTTTGACCTGTTTTTGTTATTTACGTGGATGTTTGGTTATTTATGTGTATTGTAAGTGCCGTTTGCAATGTGTAAATAACTTTCTTTCTTCACTTCACAATATTAAACTTTTAAATACATCTTAAAAATTTTCATGAATATAAGCATGAATCTGGATGCTTGCTGCTTTAAATAATGGCCTTCAGAAAGAGCTACACACAAATACAAGAGCTTCGCACAAACATTGATATAATTATGCTTGTGTATGTGATAGACAGGACTGATTTTGAGAATTTGGCTCCCTATAAGATGCTAGAGGCATTTTGTAGTACATGTGGTATCTTGGTGTATTTTACTATTTAATGTATGCTGAATCCGATAAAGGTGGATATCAAATTGAAAAACTTGATCTTGACCATTGAACTGGCCATTTAAAATGACCACTAAAATGGCCGCACAATTTCTTTATCATAAATGGATGATATATCAAATAACAATTTTAAGGAAAGGAAAAGCCTGAAATTTGTCACAAAGCATGTTTAGGTAAAAACACCAAAACAGAATTTAAAAAAAAAACAACAAAAAAAAAACAACAGTCTTTTAGGCCGAAAAATCCAAGATGGCGGGCATTTTTCTATAGGTCAATATCGAAGTAATATTAAAGATAGTACTGAAAATTTTAAGGCATTTAAACATAAGAGACTAGAATGTAAGAGATAAAATTTCTAGAAAGTCCCTACTACTTTGAACCATCACTATATTTAGGGTTTACGCGGCGAACACGCTCTTCCCTGCACTTTTTGCTAGAGTGGCTACTCAGATTCCTACTTATATTTGCTTTCTTTTTCTTAATACTCTTGGGTTTTGGTGTTCGTTGTTCTTTTGTTATCGGTTCTCGTCGCATTTCTCTGTTGTCACTTCTTCTGTTATTGGTCGTGACTTTCGTTCTACTGTTAGTTCTCGTCGCATTTCTCTTGTTCTTCTGTTATTGGTCGTGATCTTCGTTCTTCTGTAAGAAGGTCTTGGTATTAGTTCTTTTGTTGTCAGATGTTCTGTTATCATTCTTTCTCTGCTTTTCTGTTATCGGTTGTCGTCTTCGTTCTTCTGCGTTCTTCTGTCATCGGTTCTCGTCTCTATTTTTCTGTAATCAGTCGTAATCAGTCTTAATCAGTCTTAATCAGTCTTGGTTACCGTTTTCTTGGTAATTCTTCTGTCATCGGTTCCCGTCTGTTATCCTGTTATCGGTCCTAGTGTCTATTTTTCTGAAATTAATCCTCGTCTCCGTTGTCTTGTTGAAGGGCCCTGTCTCTGTTCTTCTGGTATCGGTTGACGTTTCTGCTCGTTTGTTGGCAGTTCTTCTGTGATCTATTTTTCTGTTATAAATCTTTGTCTCCGTTGTTTTGTTGTCAGTTCTTCTGTTATCGGTGTCTCTGTTCGCTTGTTGTTAGTTGTTCTGTTATCGGTCCCTGTACTTCTGTTATCAGTCCTCGTCTCTGTTCGCTTGTTGTCAGTTCTTGTCTCCGTTCTTCCTTCTGTTATCGGTCGTCGTCTTCGGTCTTGTACTTTTGGTACTTGTTTCCTGTTCCGTTAAGGTCTTCTCTTGTATCTATCGTTTCCGTCATGCTGTGTCGATGTCCTGGTTTTGTCAGTCTTGTAATCATTTTTTCGTTCAGTGGAGTAGCGGGGGATCGAACTCACGACCCCTTGATTTGTAGGCAGACAGTGTTACCACTGCACCATAGCGCCCGCTCTGAATAATAACCATTTTTGAAAGTCCTTTATACATTAAATACTATTTCAATGGCTAACAAAGGGTGTATTACAATTATATTTTTACACCTTTACTTATGTAGCCAACCCACGTGACTTTTTATATAAACAGAATATGACTCGATTTAAGTAATATTTTTATAGATAACATTGCTGTTACTTTAAGATATCCTGGTAATTTATTGGAGGGTACCCGGAATTGTAATGTCTATCAAATGAGAATTTTCCCAAAACCGAGACTGAATTCCAAAATTTTCGAGAGCTGCCATGGTGTAGCAAGCACACGTAGCAATCTCCAGGTTTCAGACATTTAATGACTCGATGAAAATATGGTGTTGTTATTGTTGTTGTTGTTGTTGTTGTTTTTAACTTTAACTTTAAATTTCAAATTAAATCGTCACTTATTTCTAAACAAGATGGTAAACATTTGTTGTTTTCTGTATTTTTGTTAAGAATGTGATAAAGTATACACTTCTAAGTTTAAGACGACTTTTTAATATTATCGATTATCCATCGTATACCTTAATGCAGTTATAATTGAATCTAAAAAATGAATTATGCAGATATTATTTTCGGCAGAAAACAACAAATACAAACAAAACAACACACAAAAAGCTTACATGCAGCATACATGTGTAATGTTCACAATGTGCTTAAAACGGCTCTTTATTAATTTCAACATTTGAGCAAGTGACACATTTTATAAAAGAATGGGACAAAAAGTTGTTGTAACCATTTAAAAAGTAGGATTGTAAATTTGTAAGTTTGATATATTTTACCTAGTTTGCTCAACACTCAATTAACACATTTTTATGTACAAAATATAGACAGAAAACAACTTTCATAGATTGAGATAGAGCCATAATGTCGTAGATATTTGGGTTACAAAAAGTTTTTGATCCTGATAATGTTTTAAGAAAGATTAACATATTACAAACTTATATTCTTAAAATTTTGTACTGCCTCATTTCATTTTTTTAATACGTGCAATTATGTAATTATTATGACTTTAGTTAGTTTCTGGAGAAAAGGCTTAATAAAGGTGGTATCTTTTATTTTATAGATAAATTTATTATGTGTCACATGTCGCCTTTAAAAAGATTTTGTGGTGATTTTTCGCATACTTAATCCCGCTTCTGCATGTTGGAACAACAATATTTTATTTGTTTGTATACGCAGCCTAATTGCTTATTTTGTATTGTCTTTTGTTATTTACCTGTCAATTATGAATACATTCATTGAAATATTCCATTCCACTTCGATTTCGTTAGAATTAATATGGAGAATATAGAAGATATTTGTTTGTTTACAGTATTCCCACGAGTGGCGTAGCCACGAGTGAGAATACTGTTTTTGAAGTTCACGAGATGAAATAAAATTACATCTGACACAACAAACAAACCAATTTTCTTTTTATTTTATGCTTAAAAATAAGTTAAAACGAAATTTCCTTGATATTAACTTTAATATTAAAATCTGCTTTCCCCACTTGTAGCCCATATTATGTACATGTATAAATTGAATTTCTCATAAAATACAAGAAGTTTTGGGCTGAAAATATGTTTCGAGAATCAACGTTAAATGGCGATTTTATTATTCGTTTTATTAAAAAAATATTAATGATCGCTTATTTTAATAATAAAAACAAACCATTTTTGTAGGAGAAAAAGTCCAACCATCCATCCATATTTCTGTTACTTACTGCGAATGTACAGTATATTAGACATGGCTCTGTTAAATGTTACCGGCGGCCATTTTTAAAAGTTGTGTATTCCATAGTTTTAATGACCTATTTTAGTTTTTTTAAGCGGCCATTTTAAATTGGCCTTTTAAAGGTGAAGGTCAATTTTATTTTCTTGGTATCCACCCTCATCGTCTTCAGCATACCCATATTAGGTTAAAACACTCAAGATATTACTTGTACTATAAAATGCCTCTAGCATTCATATTTTCTTAAAATCAGTCCTGACTATGATGTAATGTGCAAATTTTACCATGACCTCAGCAAGACGCCAATACATGTTATTACCCGAGGTCTCTTCATTGATTATCTACCTTTATGTTTATATAAATCCAACTTCTAGCTTTCTGTTTGTTAAGTTTATTCCTTTACTTTACTTAACATGGTGAATTTGATACAAACGGATGTAATTCCAAATTAAATATTCATAATTACACGTATATTGATTTGACTAAAACAATACGGAAACAAACTGACAAGTTTCAAACAAAGTCATCTCATCGTGATGAAAAACTGCCCAGGAAAAAGAAATCTGTGGCTGAGTGGGCATTTTCCTTTTACTTCAGTAGGGGTCGAATCCCATC